GAGCCAGGGCAGGCTCAGGCCCCTGACTCGGCCCAGCTGGTGTTGGTTGCAGGGGAACCTGTGCAGACTGGGGCTCTTCAGAATCAGGCCCCAGACTTGGTTCAGATGATGCCTGAGGCAAAGGATCCGGTGCAGACTGAGTCTCCTCTGGTTCCGAGTCCGAGCCCAAGTCCCAGGCCATCAAAGTGTTGTCCAAACCACAGCAGCTCTCCAGGGTTTTCAAGATGCTGGAATTTGAACCTGGGTCCTTCTGCATGCAGATGCTTGGCTGCTGAGTTATGGCTCTCGCACATTCAGTTAAACAGCTAAGGTTCGGATACAGCCACTCTCACCCCTGAACTGTCCCCAGCAGATGCTTCTGAAGAACTGACTGTGTTTTCAGGCAGGGGTCCCTCCCAGTCGTCCCGTGAGGGTATCTGGGAGCTGAACCTGGGACCTTCCCTATGCAGAGCAGACGTTCTAGCACCCCTGCTCTTCTAAAGATAGCTGCTTCACCGCTGCTGCCAATATACCCCTGCAATTTATTCAGATTTATAACCATAGCAAGCAGCAAAAGGTCACAGCATATCAGCAACGCCTTGCAGGAACTCCCTGGATCAGGTCCATAGCTCAGCCTCTCGACTTTCGATTTTTGATTAGGTGACTGCTTGGCCGATTTATGCGGCTTGATTTCCTTTGTTGGTTTGTTCCTTTGATTAACTGTTTCTTTTTTTTAAGAATAATTTTTATTAACCGACCAATCACATCAAATCAAACCAAATTACATAAATTCCAAATTACAAAGCCGAATTTTAAATTTTTGTTGGGGGTACCCATATTTCAAGTTCCGAAGGGGATCCAATCATCTTCTTGCTTCTTCTTGCTGCTTTTAATATCCACTTTTCCTTTCTCTTTGTGACCTCTGATAGTCTCCACAAGCGGGTTAAAACAGTTTGTAATCCTGTGTGGATATTTTTTTTATTTATCCAATAGCCATATCCAGACATTTTCCGTATAACATCACTTCCATAACTCAAAACAGTCTTAGCGTCGTTAATCTTCACAGATCTGTCGCCTTTCTCAACCTCTGAGGAGATTCACCAGGAATGCAGTCTGAAAACAAATCCATTCCTCCTCCCAGTTATAAATCCTTCGGCAAAACCTGCCAAGATGGCGACTCTGTATTTATTGCTGCGCCATTCCAAAAGCTCTTGTTCTTTACTCAATCTCCATAAAGCATACTTTTGGTTAAAGTTTATTTCCACACAGTCCTTAATCATCCTGCTTGGGTCAGTTAACCGGCGGTTCTAACGAGGGGGGGTTCTTGGTTAATCACATAGAAGAAAAGAAAAAAAGGTCCCCCCCCATCTAGTCCCATTGCCGACATACCCAGCCTTTGATATCTTCTTCGTAAAATATTCCTGTTGCTCCAACCCGTCGTCTTCTTTCACAGAGGTCCCTTCTGTTAGCAGTCTTCACTCCCTTCTTCACTTGAAATATGTGCATTTGCTTCTTTTGTAATTAATTATTCCAAATTGCTGCAGCTAGTGCGCGATCAGAGACAGCGTCTAGGAGAGCCGGGGTCCACACGGGGGCATTCTGCCTAGTGCCCTCACCCCCTTCTTTCAAATTTGGGGGTGATTTATGGGCACAGCAGGCAAGGGCAATGTTCCCCATTCCCTTGGGGCAACAAGGGAGGCTGCCTACTCCCATAACAGCCTCTTAATTACCCCGTGTGGTATTGTCAGCCATCTTCCAATGCGCCCCTAGTGGCCCCCCTTGATTAACTGTTTCTGTTGGATTAGGTCAGGGGTCAGCAAACTTTTTCAGCCATGGGCCGGTCCACCGTCCCTCAGACCATATGGTGGGCCAGACTATATTTTGAAAAAAATAAAAATGAACGAATTCCTATGCCCCACAAATAACCCAGAGATGCATTTTCAATAAAAGCACACATGCTACCCTTGTAAAAACACTAGGCAGGCCACACAAATAACCCAGAGGTGTATTTTAAATAAAAGGACACATTCTACTGATGTAAAAACACCAGGCAGGCCCCACAAATAACCCAGAGGTGCTTTTTAAATAAAAGGACACATTCTACTGATGTAAAAACATGTTGATTCCCAGACCATCCGTGGGCCGGATTGAGAAGTCGATTGGGCCGCATCCGGCCCACGGCCCTTAGTTTGCCTACCCATGCATTAGGTGGTGACTTTATTTTTTTTTATTTTTTTTTAATGATTTTTATTAAGGTTTCTTTTTTTTTTTAAAGAATATTTATTCCAATTTTAAAATTACAACAAAAAAGAAAAAAAAACATACAAAAAAGAATAAAACATGTTACAAAAAACAGACAATAAAAAAACAACTCAACAAAAGATAAAAATACATTATGATAAAGAATAACAAAAATCAAATTAAACCTTTACAACCTTTTTCCCTCTCTCACCTCCCCGCTTTGTATTCTAGTTTAGATCGTATTTCCAGCAAATCCTTCTAACCTTCTTTTCATTTACTTATTTTAACATTCAATAATGTATTTAATCCTCCTCTATCCTCAGTTTCTACACTTCATTTTTACTTAATCCATTATACCATATCCGCCAAAGCGGCCTAATATTCTTTTCCAACCTCTTTCTAACATTCTTTTATATTGCAGTATTTTTGAAGATATATTTTAAATTTTTTCCAATCTTCTTCCATCGACCCTTCTTCCTGGTCTCGAATTCTGCCGGTCATCTCAGCCAGTTCCATATAGTCCATCACTTTCATCTGCCATTCTTCTCGGGTAGGCAATTCTTGTGTCTTCCAGTATTTCCCAATGAGTATTCTTGCTGCTGCTGTCGCATACATAAAAAAATTTCTATCTTCCCTTCGCACCAATTGGCCGACCATGCCCAAGAGGAAGGCCTCTGGTTTCTTCAAGAAAGTGTATTTCAATACCTTTTTTAATTCATTATATATCATTTCCCAGAAGGCCTTGATCTTTGGGCACGTCCACCAAAGGTGAAAAAAGTACCTTCATTTTCTTTACATTTCCAACATTTATTATCAGGCAGATGATAAATTTTTGCTAGCTTGACTGGGGTTAAGTACCACCTATAAATCATTTTCATTATGTTTTCTCTTAAGGCATTACAAGCCGTAAATTTCATACCTGTGGTCCATAACCGTTCCCAGTCAGCAAACATAATATTATGCCCAACATCTTGTGCCCATTTTATCATAGCTGATTTAACCGTTTCATCCTGTGTATTCCATTTCAGCAGCAGATTATACATTCTTGACAAATTCTTAGTTTTAGGCTCTAACAATTCCGTTTCCAATTTAGATTTTTCCTCCTGGAAACCAATCTTTTTATCTAGGTTAAAAGCCTCCCTTATTTGATAATAATGAAGCCAGTCTCGAACTTTAGTTTTTAATTTGTCAAAACTCTGCAGTTTTAGTTTATCTCCAACTTGTTCTAAAATTTCACAGTATTTTGGCCAATTTGTCTCCATGTTAGTTTTTTTCAATGCCTTAGCCTCCATTGGTGACAGCCACCTTGGTGTTTTACTTTCCAACAAATCCTTATATCTCACCCAAACATTAAACAATGCTTTCCTGACAATATGGTTCTTAAAGGCCTTATGCGCTTTAACCTTGTCATACCATAAATATGCATGCCATCCAAACACATTATCAAAACCTTCTAAATCTAGAATGTCCACATTTTCAAGAAGTAGCCAATCTTTCAGCCAGCAAAATGCGGCTGATTCATAATAAAGTTTAAGATCTGGCAGGGCAAATCCCCCTCTTTCCTTCGCATCTGTTAATATCTTAAATTTTATTCTAGGCTTTTTGCCCTGCCAGATAAATTTGGAAATATCTCTTTGCCACCTCTTGAAACAGTCCATTTTATCTACAATTTGCAATGTTTGAAACAAAAATAAAATTCTAGGCAATACATTCATCTTTATCGCAGCAATTCGGCCCAACAATGATAACTTCAATTTTGACCATATTTCTAAATCCTTCTTTACTTCTGACCAACATTTTTCATAATTATCTTTAAACAAATTCACATTTTTAGCAGTCATATGCACCCCTAAATATTTCACTTTGTTAACTATTGTTAATCCTGTCTCCTTCTGAAACCTCTCTTTCTCAATCTCTGTAAGATTTTTCTCTAATACCTTAGTTTTCATCTTGTTCAATTTAAAACCTGCTACTTGACCAAATTCTTGGATTAATTGCAATACTCTTTTTGTACTAGATTCTGGCTCCTGTAATGTCAAAACTAAATCATCAGCAAAAGCTTTCAATTTGTATTGTTTAGCTCCGAGTTGTATACCTTTAACCAGTTGGTCTTTTCTAATCATATTGAGCAAAACCTCCAGGACCGATATAAAAAGCAATGGGGAGATTGGGCAACCCTGTCTTGTTCCTTTCTCTATCTTAAATTCTTCTGTAACTACATTATTCACGATGAGCTTAGCTTTTTGTTCCGAATAAATTGCACCTATACCATTTTCAAAACTTTGGCCTACCCCCATCCCCTGCAAATTTTTCTTCATAAAGTTCCAAGAAATATTGTCAAAAGCTTTCTCTGCATCTACAAATATTAAAACCGCTTTAGTATTAATATTAACTTGCAGTTTTTCTAGAATATTAATAATATTCCTCGTATTATCTGACAGATGTCTCCCCGGGAGAAAGCCCGCCTGATCTTTATGAATCTCTTTCCCCAATACATTTTTTAATCTTTTAGCCATAATTTCCGCAAAAATTTTGTAATCCACATTGAGTAAGGATATGGGACGGTAGTTCTTCAACTGTGTCTTTTCCACTTCAGTTTTTGGTATAAGTGTAATGTATGCTTCTTTCCACGACTCAGGTGCTTTTCCTCCCCGTAGTATTTCATTGCAAACTTCTTTCAACGGATTCAATAACCATTCTTTCAAAGATTTGTAGTACTTTGCAGTTAAACCATCCGGTCCTGGAGATTTGCCCAATTTCATATTCTGTTTTGTTTTTTTATAATTGATATTTATTAAATTTTCAAAGAATAACAACAAAAATTTCCAAAAAAAATTTGAGGATACAAAAAACAAAAATAGTACATAAACAAAAAAGAAAAGAAAACCCAGCCGCAAAGAAAAAAAAAGAGAAACAGAAAAACAAAAATATAAAGTCCTTTACAATCTCTAGTGACTTCCTTTCTAGACTTCCTCCTCCTCCCTCTTTTGTTTCTTAATTTTTAATTTTTACAGCAAATCCTTTCTGTTTTTTCATAACAATCTGTCATTACGTTTCCTTATTCTATTTTCCCTCTTGTCATATAAAAACTTTAAAACTCATAGCTTATATTCAATATTTACCAAATTCTTGCATCATTACCTTTTACGAATCATTTACCAATCCTTACTTAAGCCATGTAATTTCATTCAACATCCTTCAAACATTTGTAAGCATTCCCAATATTAAAAAATAAAAAAGAAAAAATAATAAGTCAAATTCAGTCCAGTCAGCTTCCAACCTCCCCTCCCCTGGACCCGGGATTGTCAGTCCTTTTAACCTCGATAATCCGGCTCCTTAACCTGGTTGTCTCGTATCCGAGGCCCTCAAGTCTCTTTCTTGCCCCTTTCGCCACTCTTGTTGATGATTCCTTTCCAGTCGTGGATGCTCCAGCAAGAAAATGCTTTTGACCCTTTGCAGCAAGTCCATCCCAAACCCATTGCCCAAGCCAGACAGCAAATAATACCACTTCAAATTTCCACAAAGCTTGGAGACTTCGGCTACTCCAATCCTCTGATAGCCCATCACCAGACTCGGAAGGTCCAAATAACCATATGGAGGGGGTCGATCCATCCCCCATTTCCAAATCTGACCACATTTCATCTTTCCGAATCTGGTTTGTCCCAAGTTCATTTATCAAGTTCAAAGGCTGATCTTGCCCGTCCAAAGGTCCCTCCATCTCTGAAGCCTCCGTCACTACAGCAGGTTCATATGCTTGTATAGCCTTTAACTGAATTTCATTTGTTTGCTGCTGTGCTCTGGTAACTTCCATCATCAAGGTCGTCTCCTGACGCATCTGGTCCAGCTGGGCACTTAGTTTTGAAAAACCTTCCAGGAACAATTGTTCAAGCCTTTGTACTAGCATTGTCCTTCAAGGTCAAAGAAAATTCTTTCCCACGACAATAGTCCAATAGTCCTTCTCTTTTAATCTCTCTGCGTTGCAATTTCACTAAATTCCACTAGATGGAATTTTTTTTTTTTTAAAGGAATAAAAGCAACAGCAACAATCTTTCTTTTTCCAGAAACACTTTATCCAAAATTCACCCTTCCAAATTCAAGAGGCAACAGTAGAATCAAAATGTTACCCTTCTTTTAACTAACTGTCGAGCTGGATAAACTTCAGAACGTCAATTCTGACAGCCCGCTCCTGGTTCAGGGCGGTGGAAAATTGCTTTATTTTAAACTCACTTCCGCAGGATTGAAAAGTCCAAATACAACCCCCTTCTTCTCCTGCAGTCAAAGGGGGTTCAGAAATCTTAGATGTTGAATTCTAGTTCTCTTAGAATTTAATTTTCAAGCTTTAGTATATTTTGTCTTTGCTTTCTTCACATAACAAAAGAACGGAAGGCGACTTCCTGTTTAGACCTTCCCATTCCGAGTCCCAATTAAGTTCAATTTCAAGTCCAATATTATTTGTTTATTCACCAGTCTTAAAAGTGGTTCAACTCTTCCAAGATCAGGTACTCACGGATAGATATTTTAGATGCCAAATTGTCCAGGAAAAGGCAGCGCTCTCCGATAACGGCAGTGCGGCTTTGCTGCACGGAGGAAGCAGTCGACTCACAGCACCACGCACCTCCCACTCCGGAGCCCGTTACCGGGCTCCTGTACAAGGGGAGAGGGCGCTCTCGGTGCCCGCCGAGTCCCACGTCCACAGGCTTCTTCCGCCTGTGGTTTTTGCGGGTCCCCGCTGCGCCGTAGCGGCAGGACCCAAGCCTCCGTGCAGCGGGTTCCCTTCAGTCCGAAGGGAATTCCGCCATTTTCCGGAGGCGCCACCCCGGAAGTCCCCAATTTCATATTCTGAATGGCTCCTTCCACCTCTTGGTCAGATATTATAAAGTTTAGTATTGATTTGCTCTCTTGAGATACTTTTTGTAATCCATTAATTTTCAAAAACCGATCAATGTCTAATTCTTTCTGGGCCTCCTGCGTATATAGTTGTTTAAAATAATTCTGAAAGCACTTCCGAATCTCTCCAGGATTCTGTATATTCTTCCCTTCTACTACCAAGTTCGTGATCGTATTCAGCTTTTGTCTTTTTTTCATTTGCCAAGCCAATAATTTCCCACATTTGTTTGCCGATTCGAAGGTCTTTTGTTTCATCTGTTTAACCTTCCATTCTATCTCCTGATTCATCAATTTCATATATTGTACTTGATATAACTTTATCTCTTTTAAGATCTCCTGTGAGTTCAGTTTCACCCTCAGTCTTTTTTCTCCATCTTTAATTTTCTCCAGAATTTTTTCTCTCTTCTCATTTTGATATCTTTTCCTAATTGCGTTTTGTTGTATCAGAAATCCTCTCATCACCGCTTTGCTGGCATCCCAAATCACTCTTTTTTCAGTCGTAGTATTCATATTTATCTCAAAATAGTCTCTCAAGTTTTTCTGGGCCTTTTTAATAATTTCCTCATTCCTAAACAAGGAGTCATTCATCCTCCATCTAAAAGCTCCAAGTGGCGTTGATATAATTTCAATCTTTACTGGATTATGATCAGAGCAAATTTTCGGGCAAATCACCGCTTTTTTTATCTTAGGGGCCAGTCCTCTAGTTATCCAGATTTGGTCTATTCTTGTCCATGTCATATTAGCTTCAGAGAAGAAGGTTCCTTCTCTTTCCAAGGGGTTCTTTATTCACCAAATATCCACCAGATCCATATTGTCAGTCATTTCAAAAAATGTCTTTGGTAGTCTTCCATCTTTCGTCACTGTTTGTCTTTGGGCTTTATCCATATTTGTAGACACTACTCCATTCATATCTCCCATCAAGATAATGTTATAATCCAAATAATCCAGGAGGGTTTCGTGCAATTTTTTGAAGAATTCTGATTTTCCCTCATTTGGTGCATAGACACCTAGTATCAAAAACTTCTGTCCTTGAAACTGAATTTCAATTGCTATATATCTTCCTTGGTCATCTTTAAATATAAATTTTGGTGACAGGCTTTCCTTCGCATAGAGTACTACTCCTCTTTTTTTCACATTATCCGATGAAATAAATTCTTCTCCCAATCTTTTGTTTATCAAAATTTTCCGATGTAGCCTTGTCACATGCGTCTCTTGTAAACAGATCAAGTCCAAATGTTCTTTTTTCAATGTATGAAATACTCTCCCCCTTTTTGCCGACGAATTCAGGCCATTAATATTCCAGCTTAGAACTTGAAGTGTCATTTTGTACTTACTCTCCTTCTCCTCCAACAGCCCCAAGAAGTTTGTCTATGTCTGTCGGTGGCGTTGGTTTCACTTTTTTTTGCAAACTCTTATCCGGTGCAGCAGTGTCTTTTCCCAATCCTTTCTGTAGGTCTTCTTCGTATGCGCTCAAAAACTTGTTCTTTTCCTCCACTGATCTTATCTTAGTCTTTCTTCCTTTAAAACTAAAGGATAGACCTTGAGGGAATTCCCACCTGAAAAGAATCTTGTTTTTTCTCAGCAAGGCCACCAAGTCTCCAAAATCCTGTCTTAGGTCCAAAAGATGTTTTGGTATATCTTTAAAAATTTCCACTTTTGATTGTAAAATTGTCAAGGGCTTCTTGTAATGCAGGCCCAAAATTTTGTCCCTTTCCTCTTTAGATCAGAGGGTAATCAAACAGTCCCTTATTTTAATCTTTATTCCTCCTTTCCCCAATCTAAAGGCCCTCACAATCGTAAAGTCCTCTTGTTTCAAATCCAATTTCCAAAATTCCACAAATTCTTGTGTCAAAAAGTCTATCAAGGTGCCTTTCTCCAACTCAGGAACAGCTCTAATTCTTAGATTGGTTTGTTTGTCTTTGAGATCAATCATAGACAACGTTAACTTATGTTCTGCAATCTCTTTCTGTAGGTCTGGTACCTTCTCAGTTTCCAGTTGCCCCAATTTAAATTCCACAGCAGCAGTCTTTTCCTGTATAGACTTTGAGTCTTGCAATAGTCTCTGAATAGATTCCGTATTGCTGTTTACCTTTTTCTCCAAGTTGTCTAGTGTTTCTGTGTTTAAATCAATTTTTCTATTAGCAATGTCCACTTTCTGGTTCGTCTCTTCCACTTTCCTATTCGTCTCCTCCACCCTTGTACTAAGTTGCTGTAGAGATTCATTAATCTTAGCCAGGGCATTGGCTAAAATTTCCTCAGACATTCCACTAGACTTAGATTGTGTTGCTGATGTAGGCAAACCAGCAGATGATTGCCTTCGGTGTCCCCAAGGTTTCCCAGATCTCAAGACTGACGGGTCTTGAGATTTCTGGCCATCTGCCATAACAATGTGAAGGTCAAATTCTTTTCCCACGTATGCTGTTCCTGTTTACAAGTGGAAAATTCCTTTACTGTAATTTCAGGAGTCCCACTAGGTGGACACTGTTGCCACCAAACCAGTTACTGTCCTTCTTAAATAACAGGAAAGAGAAACTAAGTAAAAAACAAAGAAGGAGAATCCACAATGTATCTTTCCAATTGTTTTCCCCAACGAGATTGGCCACAATATATCTTCCTTACAGCCAACAGATAACACTGACAGCTTTTGACAGCTGAGACGTCACTGACAGATTGCTCTTTAAATCTTTAAACAGTCCGGAAGAAACAAACAAAACCTTTTCCTTTATCCCTCCGAAGGGTAGATTCCGCCAAAGTTCTCAGGTCAGAAGAAAACACTTTTTTCAAATCAATTTTCCCACGTTTAGCTCAAAGTCTCTATGCTTTACTCTATTTACAATGCGGGGAAGCGGACTTCCTGTTTACGCTTCCCACCGCGGTAGCCAATTTTAGCGTTGTTTTGCTGCTAAAACCTTTCCACTTTTAATCCAATTTCAGTCCAATTAAAGCTCTTTTAATCCAATTCCTCTACTCACGATTTGAATTTTCAGTCCAAATGTTCCAGGAATAAGTCAGCGCTCTCCAGCAACGGCAACACGGCTTCGCTCCGTGAAAGCAGCGATCCACTCACAGCACCGCGCTTCTCCCCTGCTCCGTTCCGAAGCCTCAAAAAAAGGCTTCCTCGCGAGTTGGGGGGGCGCTCCAAGGTGCCCGCCGAGTCTCCACATTCGCAGGCTTCAGCGCCTGCGATTTCTAAGGGTCCCCGCTTCGCTGCAGCGCACAGGACCCAATTTTCACGGAGCTATCCCCTCCGAGATCAGAGGAGATCGGCCATTTGCTGCTGGCGCTAACCGGAAGTCCGATTTTTATTAAGGTTTCAGTAAAAAGTTAAACAGAAAAACATAAAAAAGAAATACACAAATACACAATACATAATCCAAAAAAGAAACAAGCACAGAAAACAAAAAACAAAAAAAAGAAAGAAACAGAACATTTAAAAACAATATCACCTTTTCATTTCCGTTTTTAAATTTACTTATTTTCTGGACCTCCTCATACCGCCCTCTTTTGTATTCCAGTTCAAATTGTTTGTCCAGCAATTTCTTTCCCACTTTTTTAATCCCAATCTTTAATCTTAATATAATATAGCATTAAAATTTTACCTCTTAAATACCAAATTTCCATTTCCTTAAACTTCTTTAATCCTAATCTTTAATTTTAGTCTATCTATAACTTTAAATCCTGTACAGCTGGAAACCACTTATTTTCAATCCAACATCACTCTAGCATTCTTTAATTTTGCAGTGTTTCTGTAAATAATCTTTGAATTTCTTCCAATCTTCCTCCACCGACTCTTCTCCCTGGTCACGGATTCTACCAGTCATTTCCGCCAGTTCCATATAGTCCATCAGTTTCATCTGCCATTCCTCCAGCGTGGGAAGTTCTTGTGTCTTCCAATACTTTGCAATGAGTATTCTTGCTGCTGTTGTTGCATACATAAAGAAAGTTCTATCCTTTTTATCACCATTTGGCCGACTATGCCCAGGAGAAAGGCCTCTGGTTTCTTAGGGAAGGTATATTTGAATACCTTTTTTAATTCATTATATATCATTTCCCAGAAAGCCTTAATCTTTGGGCACGTCCACCAAAGGTGAAAAAAATGTACCTTCAATTTCTTTACATTTCCAACATTTATTATCGGGCAAGTGATAGATTTTTGCAAGCTTGACTGGGGTTATGTACCACCTGTATATCATTTTCATAATATTCTCTCTTAAGGCATTACATGCCGTAAATTTCATACCTGTGGTCCACAACTGTTCCCAGTCAACAAACATAATGTTATGTCCAACGTCTTGTGCCCATTTAATCATAGCCGATTTTACCGTTTCATCCTGAGTGTTCCATTTCAGCAGCAAGTTATACATTCTTGACAAATTCTTGGTTTTGGGTTCTAACAGTTCGGTTTCTAATTTTGATCTTTCCACCTGGAAGCCAATTTTCTTGTCCAATTTAAATGCCTCCATTATCTGAAAATAATGAAGCCAGTCTCGCACTTTGTTTTTCAGTTTTTCAAAGCTCTGCAATTTCAGTCTATCTCCATCTTGTTCCAAAATTTCCCAATATTTCGGCCAATTGACCTCCATATTGAGCTTTTTCAAGGCTTTCGCTTCCATTGGTGACAGCCACCTTGGGGTTTTGTTTTCTAACAAATCCTTATATCTTATCCAAACATTAAACAGCGCTTTCCTAATATGGTTTTTAAATGCTTTATGTGCTTTGACCTTATCGTACCATAGATATGCATGCCATCCAAATACATTGTTAAAACCTTCTAAGTCCAACTAAGACTTTATTCCAAATTGCAAAGTGCAGCAGTTTTCTTTTCAAGAAGAGAGGGATGCAAGACACCCACACCCACCCCAATATTGCACGCAAAAGTGTGAGTATTTTATTTTGCTTCATGTCCAGATTGCCGAAACCTCCAGCAACTGGGGCTTCCAG